TGCATAATTTGTTTTAATATGGTTTAGTATACTTGAAAATGTATGCTTGAATGTCGTATAACATGTTTTGACATTATTTAGTATACTTGAGCATGTATACTTGTATGCCGTAATTCATTTTAATTGCTAGTGTAGCTTGAGATGATCCCTAAGTCTCACTTTTGACATAGACGTTAGGTGGCATGACCTTTTTGAATTGTCTCACCTTAAGGTGATAATATTGTAAAATGCTAGGTCTAAATATGCTCATTTCCTACGAGTAGCTTTATGTTACTCACTCTAAAGTTACCGGAGCATTGTTCAGGTACGAAGACTTGGTTCGTGATGTTCATCATTGCTTAGATGATTGTGGACTTGAAGGTTTTAATTTTTGTAAAGGTTGGCTTGAAACGCCACTTGTAGCCTTATTTATCAAAATGTGTGTATTCGATTCCATATATGTAATGTGTACATGAGTACACTTTTTACAATGTATTTGACATGTATGAGATGAGGCCGGAGGCCAATGACATGTAATTTGTATCCTATGTAATTTTTGACTTCATGAAATATTATGAAAATATTGAAAAATGCCAAGTTATTGTTTCGCCATGGTTGCATCGTGTGTGAGAATTCCATTTTCATTCTTTCATAGGGTCTCATTAATCATGTATGAAGTGCTGTCAAGGGCCAAATGGTCATTTGAAGCCATTTGTTAATTTTAGATTTCAAAATTTCCATTTCAAGTTCATTTTTGCCTTTTTGGCCGTTGGGGGGTCAGATTTTGCATCAGTGGTATTTTGTAGCCGTGGATTATTGTAGCGCGTCCTAATGGGTAAGTTACATCTGCGTGTATGGTCATTTCTGGGAAAAACTCATTCGTTGGTGAAATGAGCCTCCTATGGACTTATTTCACATTTTTATAAAAAAATTCTTGCTTAAGGGTATTTTGGGGATTTCCTTTAAGAAATAAATTCCAGTCTTGACTTTGTAACATAGAAAATGTGATTTCGGAGGGATTTTCTTCACAAAATTTTCCCGAAAAATGTCATCTTGGTCTCGAAAATCGCGTTCCAAACACATTTTTTTGCATTTTTACTGTTTCTACTGCAATTGTTCAATTCTGGTCGAGTTAAACCAGTTTAAGAATGTTGAACCGGTTCAAGATGTCAATTTGGTCTAGCATGGATGTTCTGTCCATGTTGAACCGGTTCAAGAATGTTGAACCAGTTCAAGTCTTGCAGAACTGTTTTGCAGGTTCAGCTTTGGTCTTCCAATTTTGAACTGTTGTAACTTCTTCGTTTTAACTCTGAATTGGTCCGTTCTTGAGTCTAAATTGACCGCGTCGAAGTAAGATTTCCAATGGTACCAATTTTAGTTTCAGATTCTTCTCCTAGCTCGAGATATACTTGTTTTAGTGAGAGGGTGTCAGATTTGGTTTGAACCGGGATAGGTTCTTCTGGGATTTCACTTCCTTTGGCCTTGGGACTTCATGTGAAGTTACCAAAGGATATTTTTGGATGTTTTGGATTTCATTTGACTTGTTGGAAGTCAAATTCCATCCTCTTAGGGTAAAATGGTCATTTTACCCTTGGTCCTTCTTTCGGTAGGGTTTTGATACCATTGTCTTCGTTTTATTTCCGTTGAGTCTCGAAACTCCTCGAAGGGTCATTCTTGTGTCTTAGGGATGATGTACATCTCTAAGGACTTGTTTTTGTTTTGCTTTCGCATTCTGGATCCGCTTCGTATCATCATAGGACACACTGGGTTGAAAAATCCAAGGTCGTCATAGGCTCAAGCACACATGGAGCTGGCTCCATATACCATGGAGCCGGCTTTACACATGAGGGAGCCGGCTCCCCATCACCTGGAGCCGGCTCTTTGCTTGAGGGAGCCGGCTTCCACTTTTATGGAGTCGGCTCTTTCTTTATATAAGAGCCCTAAATCCAATTCCACATGTTTACTTCTTCGTCCCTGTCTCTGGCAATGTTTAGACACCTCTGTAACTTTTTGATAGGGTTCCTAGGAGTTCAATCTATGCCCGAATTTATTTCAGAAACACTTAAAAACACAGTATGCATCATAAACAACAATTTAGAGTACATAGAATGAAAGAATTTATGAGATACGTCAATTTCAATTAACATCAGATGATACAGTGAAAACTCTAAATTAATATGCATATAAGTTCAGTTTTAAAGTCCGATTTAATCCTGGAAATTATTTAGGCATGCATAGAACACAGGTCTACGGGAAGGAGTAAGATATAGAACTTGCCTTTAGTTTCAGTTTCAAAACCTTAAACCGTCTTCTCTAATTAATCCGATGACTTCTTAATTGCCGTTAAACTCCTCTGCTGCCCTTGGTTCAACCCACGAACAACACCCCTTCTTTCTCTCCTTGGTCTGGTCTTGGATTTTGGCCAAAACCCTAGCCCTGTTCTCTCTCTGTTTATCTCTTTCTCATTGCCTCTCTAACAGATACGTGAATAGGGTTTTCTAAACCCTAAGGCAGACATATACATATATATATATATATATAGGCTTAGAAAACCTAATTCTAAATACCTAAGGCAAAGGAAAAGAAAAAGAAAAAAATAAGAATAACAGACAAATACATATAAGTCTGTACGCATAAATATATATAATGAACTTATAATTATATATATATATTTATTTACAACTAACCATAATTATTACTATTAATTATTTAAAATATTAATAAATATAAACTCCACAATTATACGTATATACCCATATATATATGTATAACCATCCATAGGTATTAACTGTACCCATTAAATCTCCTATCCAAGTAGTCCATATGACACAAACGTTTGGTCCATTACTACTGTCCAAGCCCAACTCCTTAAAATTAAAATGAAATAAAACATTTAATCTAACAAATAATTATACTTAAACAAACACAACATTTAAGTAATCAAAACAATTAAACAAACACATCATAAATAATTTTATTCAAACAAAACATTTAAACACACACAATTTAATGTAAACAATTAATTCAATTAACCATATAACAAATAGCCAAATAATCAATTAAAAATTAAAATGCACATGAAATAAATAATTAAATTTCAATTGTATCCTTTTAAAAATTAGGGTTATTACAAAAAGCTCCCCCAAACACCACCAAAATCACTCTTTGAATTCGTTTGAACTTAGCATTGGAGAATAGAAAAGGATGGGTGCTAGGGCAAAGTTGCCAATTCATTTAATATAATAACTAGGTGGAGCACTAAAGGCGAAATTTGGAGCGCGAATAACAGTAACCATATAAATATAATTGTAAATTTGCAAAGTATTTAGAGATATTTTAGGCCCCGTTTGGGGAAGCTTTCTCATATTAAAAGTTTTTTCATTCATAAAGCCTTCGTGAAAGGAATTTTGTGGAAGGAATTCATAAGATAAAGACGTTTCGCGAGCATATTTCTTAAATCTTCTTTAACTTTTAGATTTTTTTTTTCTTAACAATAATATCCTTTATCCTTAACAATAATTGCAAGCCTCCAATAAAAAAGTGTAAGGTGGTATTGGTGGAAGGCGATGTTAATTGCGATTGTGGTGGTGAAAGGTGGCGGTTGAGGGTGGTGGTGGTGGAATGTGACGATGCCAACCGTGGTGGCAGTGGTGGAAGGTCGCGGTTGAGGGTGGCGATGGTGGTAGCACTGGTGGAAGGTTGCGGTTGAGGGTGGCAACGATGGTAGTGGGGAAATGTGGCGATGAAGAAGATGGTGGTGGTGGTAGAAGGTCACAGTGGTGGTGGAAGGTGGTGGTGTTGGTAGAAGGTGGCAATGGTGGAGGGTGGTGATGGTCGTGGAGGGTGATGGTGGCGGTGGCAATGGTGGTGGTGGCTGAAGGTCACGGTGGCAGTGGTGGAAAATGGTGGGGGTGGCAATGGCGGAAGGTGGTAGTGGAAAGTGGTGACGGAAGGTGGTGGTGGTTGGTGGAGGGTGACAGTGACAATGGTGATGGTGGAAGGTGGTGGTGGCAATAGTAATGGTGGTGGAAGGTCATGGTGGCAGTGATGGAAGATGGCGGTGGTGGAACGAAGAACCAAAAAAGAATATAGGACAATTTTGTCAATCTATGACAAGTAAATGGGTAATTTAGTAAACTAATAAATTTATCCTTAAAAAAAATTAGTTTCTTAAAAGGAGGTTTCAAAAGCAACTGACTTTTCTAAAATGGGCTTATCAAGAAAGTCCATTTACATATGTGTAACCAAACGTCACAATATTTTTCAAATAGACCTTTCAAACTGTTCTTTTGACAAAGGTGCAAACGTTTATAGTATGATTGATAGTTATTTTCAAAAGTTATCTTCGTGTGAGATTTGACCAAACTTTAGGGATGTCATTAAAATTAATCATTATTTTTTTCATGGTAAAAAATACACTTACATATCCACTTTGCTTATTTGGAGATTTGAAGCATGACTTTCTACTTTGGAAGGTAGAAAAATACCACTAGGATTTTGGTAGTAACCTTTACTATTTTTAAAGATCTTTAAAACAAAAGTGCAAACGTTTATAGTATGATTGATAGTTATTTTCAAAAGTTATCTTCGTGTGAGATTTGACCAAACTTTAGGGATGTCATTAAAATTAATCATTATTTTTTTCATGATAAAAAATACACTTACATATCCACTTTGCTTATTTGGAGATTTGAAGCATGACTTTCTACTTTGGAAGGTAGAAAAATACCACTAGGATTTTGGTAGTAACCTTTACTATTTTTAAAGATCTTTAAAACAAAAGTGCTTTTAAAAGTATTTTGAGAAAATTAAGCCAAAACAGAACTTATTTTTTTTTACAAACCAAACAGAACTTATTTTTTTTTACAAACCAAACAGAACTTTTTTTTTTTTTTTTTACAAACCAAACGGAACCATTTTTATTTTTCACAAACCAAACGGAACTTTGCGCACTCCCCATCTTTTCCTTCCTTTTTTTTTTAATTATTTTCTCCATTTGAACAGTGGAGACCGGAAAGGAGGAATTTTGATTCCCTGTTGAAATTAAATTCCAAAACGTTATTATCTATATATATATAGAGAGAGTGTCAACAGAATAGATATTTTTGCATCGCCTCCCATTTTTCAATAGCCCATAATAGCTCCATCTGCGAATTAGGGTTTTTGAGGGCGTTTACATCTTCAGCGACTCTAGGGTTTCGTTATTGTACGTTTCTCCCTACTTATTTTATCTATTTATCTTTCTACTTCTCTTTCTCTCTCTTTATATCGCATTAACACTGTTTTTGCTCTACGTATCAATTTTGTTTTACGATTTTTTTTTTTAATCGTATTCCGGGAATGAAATATATTGCATAGGTTGTTTTTTTTCGTCTTTTATATTTTTAGTTTTTGCATTTCTTCTAAATAAATTGCTGTATTTTGCCCTTTACAGATCTTGATTATTTCTTTTGCTTTCTCGCTTATATTATGATATGCATTGTTGCTTTTTGTTAATGTACTGTTTTCTGAATAAATTTTTGTTTCGATCAGGGTTTTGATTTCAAGGATTAGTAAAAAACAATCAGTTATAGATTTCTGTGGTTGATGTTGACGAAAATTGTGGAATTTGAATCGAAATTTTGGTGTTGAAAGAGAAGTCTTTTGGCATATTAGGGTTTTGAACGCTTTTTGTAAGCGGTCGAGCTGAATTTGTTTGGAATTCTGGACACAGTGTGAATTGAGTTTGAGTATGCGATCTTCATGGGCTGATTCAGTTGCTGCAGCTGAGAACGCTGCTGCTGGCTCTTCTGCTAATAATGTGAGTGGTGAAACCACCAAGGCTCCTGCCCGATCAACATATGTTCCTCCGCATCTCCGCAATCGGCCACCCTCAGCCTCAGCACCCTCAGCGGACCCGCCAGCTCCAGCTAACAGTGGCTCAACTTCTGGAAATGATCGATCTGGGTATGGTGCTCCGTCAGGCGGGAGTCGTTGGGATGGTCCACGGAGTGACTATAATCGACCGGGGTTCAGTAGTGGTGGACGTGGTGGTGGCTGGAACAGCAGAAGTGGTGGTCGGGACCGTGGGAGGGAGAGGGAAGTTAACCCTTTTGGTGATGAAGATGCTACAGAGGAAGTGTTTAGTGAACAGGAGAACTCTGGAATCAACTTTGATGCCTATGAAGATATTCCAGTGGAGACAAGTGGGGATAACGTCCCACCTCCTGTCAATACTTTTGCGGAGATCGACTTGGGCGAAGCACTAAATCTAAATATTCAGAGGTGCAAGTATGTGAAGCCAACACCTGTGCAGCGGCATGCCATACCAATCTCTCTTGGAGGCCGGGATCTGATGGCATGTGCCCAGACTGGTTCTGGGAAGACGGCTGCTTTCTGCTTCCCAATTATCAGTGGAATTATGAAGGGACAGTTTGCACAAGGACCACCCCATGGGAGACGTATGGCGTACCCACTTGCCCTTATTCTCTCTCCAACAAGGGAGCTATCATGCCAGGTGGGTTTATAATACATGACTGTATATGTGTATATGATCTCCTTTCTGGCTAATTTCTATCCAAGGAAATTGTGAACTTTGTGATTTAACTTGCAGATTCATGATGAGGCTAGGAAATTTTCATATCAAACTGGCGTTAGGGTGGTTGTTGCTTATGGTGGAGCACCTATTAATCAACAGGTGTCATTCTCCTCTTCCCAAGCTTTCAGTCTGTTATTTTACTTGAGCTGTCTGTTTGTGCATCCGATGTCATATCATACGTAGACTTGTGATCCCAATAGCTGCATTTTTCCGTTATTTTAGAGTTGAATTGATGGCTTGTTCCTTTATCAGCAGAAACAATTGTGTATTTTGGTTATCATGAAAAAAAAAGTAATAGAATAGTTGTGTTTTATTGGGTCTTCATTTTCTCCTATGTCTCCTATGTCTCTCTTTTCTTTGTTTTGTGTGAACTATGCTGAAATGTCAGGTACAATGATTCTTTGAGCTATTTGAAAACAGCCTAAACTGTCAGGGTTGCTATACTCATTCCATTCTCTATATGTTCATTCATATGATTAATTTTTGTTTATTTTATCTTATTTATTATTATTATTTATTTAATAGGCTTTATGTTCAGATGTAGCATTATATCTGTCTATGTGTAACAAATTAACAATTTGTGTGTGATGGTTGTATAAGTTGTCATGATTGCATGTATTTGCAAGTGAGGTCCTTTGCAGCATTAACTTGTGGACCTCTCTGAATGCTTTGTGTTGGCTTTGGTTATTTACCTAAACCTGGACTTGACATGAAAGAAGGTAGGATCTTCCATATCTTTTATATACAACTGCACAAACACATATCTGTGAACATTTCGGTACACAAATTTGTGTATGTGTTGTTATTGCATTATAGATTGTTGTTAATTTTCCTACTTCTCAAAAAAAAAAAAAAAAGATTGTTGTCAATTTTCCTGATTTTCTTCTATGTAATTTTATTATTCTATCGCATATTTTGTGGTTAATGGGTAGTCTTTGCTATTTTTGCTTAAGTGCGGGAGTTTCAACTTATCTCCATTTACAAAAATTGTTTGGTTATCAAGGCAATGTGACACAACAAGTATAAGGACTTCTTTTGGCAATTTAAAATTTAATGATATATTGATGAAACTTGCAATTTAAGCTGTAATGCAATCCGGGTTAGTAGTATTGGTTGTTTCTTGTGGAGTCAGAATTTTGACGTTAGAGGTTAAAGTAGTTTGTTACACTAAGAAGTTATAATTTAATTGGGAAAATTACACTTACAATTACTTCTCCCACGATGTTTGTCATAATTACAGAGATCTCCCCTATAATTTGAAAAATAACACTAACGTCCTTTGTAAGTCGTAGTACTATAACAATTTCCCCTCCCGATTAACCATTAATGCTAGTTAACTACAGATTTTTTGATGTCCTCTAATTAAACTTTTATAATATTCATTTTGTTTGTGAAACAAATGAAATGACATTTTTGTCCTATATCTGTCGACATGAAATGACTTTAGATACAGTGATGGAGCTAGGAATTTGTTGCGGGAAGAGGAGAGAGAGAGAGAGGGGGGGAGGGGGATGGGGTTTGGCAACTTGGCATATTAGACATAATAAAATAAATTTTTTCCTACTAATAGTGCAGCAAGACAAGAAGCCGAAAAATAAAGTGTAGTAACGGTGCAGTAATCAAAATTCATAAAGTATGTAATAATCCGAGCAAAAATTGCTGAAAAAAAATTCAGAAACATAAAATAAGGACATTAATGGTCCTTTTGGCAACAAATTCTATTTTGCATTTTCGATTTCATATCAAGTAGAAATAATGTGTTTTTTTATGGTGTGATTTATCCCCGAAACAAAAACATGGGGTAAATAATTTGTTGCACAATGTTTCATCAAAAAATGTTGGAATTATTTTTAAAAAATGGTATTTATATTTATTGGCTTTTTTTATTAAAAAAAATTCTCATTACAGTTGTTTAGCTAAACCAGCAAAAACAAGTGAAAATGACTTTTTTTGCTTTCAGATTTAAACTTTTATAATATTCATTTTGTTTGTGAAACAAATGAAATGACATTTTTGTCCTATATCTGTCGACATGGAATGACTTTATATACAGTGATGGAGCTAGGAATTTGTTGGGGGGAGAGAAGGGGGGGGAGGGGGGGGGGTGGTGGTGTTGGCATATTAGACATAATAAAATAAATTTTTTCCTACTAATAGTGCAGCAAGACAAGAAGCCGAAAAATGAAGTGTAGTAACGGTGCAGTAATCAAAATTCATGAAGTATGCAATAATCCGAGAAAAAATTGCTGAAAAAAAATTCAGAAACATAAAATACGGACATTAAGGGTCCTTTTGGCAACAAATTCTATTTTGCATTTTCGATTTCATATCAAGTAGAAATAATGTGTTTTTTTATGGTGTGATTTATTCCCGAAACAAAAACATGGGGTAAATAATTTGTTGCACAATGTTTCTTAAAAAAATGTTGGAATTATTTTTAAAAAAATGGTATTTATATTTATTGACTTTCTATATATATATATATAAAATTCTCATTACAGTTGTTTAGCTACACCGGCAAAAACAAGTGAAAATGACTTTTTTGCTTTCAGATTTAAGTCTTTTTTTTTTTGGAAACATATGCAATATTGTGCAAAACGTAACAAAAATGATACCAAATGTGTTTTCATGACTTGTTTATTTTTTTCACCAAATTGCCAACAAAAACACTAAACAGAAAACGATTGCCAAACGAGCCCCAAGTGTATAAAATTCCTGTGATAAATCTAAATAAGAGAATAAAAAATAAGAAGAAAATTAAAAAAGAATAAAAAGAGAGAAAAGAATGTTACGGCACATTCATTGTACATAGTGCAAGAAGAAAATATTTAAGAAAAAAGAAAAACAAAAATAAGAAGAAAATAAAAAAGAGGCTAATCAGCTGGGCTAGTGGGAAGGTGGTTAGCGAGCTTTTGCTAATTCATTCCAAGTCGGTAGGAAAGAGATTTGAGTACAGAATCTCGCCAATTTATCGAGTCAAGTTGAGTCAGATGATGACACATTGCTGACATCATGAACGTATGGTTATTCATTCCATTAAATATCTATCGTTAATCATTAATCATTAATCTTTTATCTTAGTCAATTCCTGTAACTATTCTGGTCATAAAAATGATAGCCTTGCTGTTATGATTCTACGTGCCATACAGCGGCTGTTTTTATCTGAGGTGCACGGGTATCAAGATCTGAGGCGCAGGTTTGTTTTTAGCGCGGGTTTTTCGCTCAGTGGCTTGTTCTTTAGGCTTTCCCGCACCCTTTATGTAGCCGGGGACTAGAACTATACTTTCGTTTTTATTAGTGATTAGAGTTGGCAGAAGCAATCCCCAACCAAGGTTGTATGTACCTCCTGCAATTTGGACTACCTCATTAACTGGGGGCATGCTCTGAGTAACTTCCTTTCTGGAGTCATAGAAGGGATCCGAGAGATTCTTGCTTTAGTGCAGCTGATCCAAGGCAATGGAAACTAAACTCTTTCATGATCGTGGACCACGGTTTCTATTCAAGAGCATCTGCTAGTCATTAATGCCCAGAATCAATCATCTGTACAGCTACAGTGATTTCATCTTGAAAGTCCAAAAAACCAGGGCTTGCTCTGACCATACATCCACTTGAAATATTCATCCAAATCATGCCTTTTTTAGGAGACTTGCACATTCCACAACAGCAGGGAAAGCCCTTTTCTACTTTCCTCAATAACTTGGGCTGGCGCTTCCCTCCCTTGCAGTCATGAATGGAGGGACGGTCAGAGCTCAGTTATAGCAATTGAACGAACTAGGAAAGGAGCGCAAACTAGCGTATTGACGGTTACTCCAGCTGGTCATAAGTAAGATCCTGCTTCTTCTGGAATAAACTAAAAAATTATAATATATGAGAGAACTTTGAAGGGGAAAAATTAGGGTTTGATTGAAGAAGGGATTGCAAAAAATGAAGAGAAGAGAGAGAGAGAATGCAGGATCAGCATCTCTCCGTCCTTGCTTCTCTTCCTTTGAGAAGTCCTAATATAAGTTGGGGATGGATGGAAATCAGAACATGGTGGGTTAGTTGGGTTTATCATTTGAATTGAAGGAAAATAGGTGGGGAAGTTAGAAAAGTTTGGGGATTTATATGTATAGACATCATGGGACCTGGATGAGATGAATGGAGCTGTTTGTGGAGGTGGGTGAGGGGGCCTAGTTGAAGGAGCCCTTCGGATTTTGCTACTAATAATTTGTAATTACCATCAAGAATTTTTGATATATATGTGTGTATATATATAGGTATATAGTTACATATATATCATGTATGTATCCTAAAAAACTTAAGAGCGAGAGAGAGAATGCCTATATATATGTATTTATGTATAGATGTAATCAGGAAATTAAAATCCTTTTTTTTTTTTTTTTTTTATTTTTATTTATTTTCGTTTATTTTTAAAGCTCTAATTAATTGTTTGTGAAGATTTTCGTGGAATAGTTAACAAGTTCATGTGTTAACTACTAAAAACAGAAGAGCGAGAAATTTTAAGTCAAACTTTGATTGGTTTAAAGGGTGATTTGTGTTTATTCGTAGCCAGATTTTTAGAGATGGAAGGTTGATTTTTAGAGATAGGAACATACTGGTAAAAAGTGAAAATAAGGAGTCATAATAGAGAAACAGTCCTTTTAAGTTTCATTGACTTGTATTATTTTTAATGAAAAAGCATTTAAATAAGTTGTGGGTAAAATGTCATTTTACACATTCTATTAACTGTGTCAAACGGAGTTGACTGGCAGGGTTACTTTTCAAATGAGAGGAGGCCTCTGCAATTAAGGCAAAGCTGAGGTGAGTTAAGTGTGATTTTTCCAATTTATTTTTGTTTTTCAACATGCTAGACTAATTATGTTCATGGAAGAGCATAATTTAGTTGCCAGAGCTTGTACAGAGAGTGGGAAACCGGGTTTCTAAAATGGATTTAGCAAGAAGAGAATGGTTTAAACTAGTGTTATGGGTGCAATTGGAGATTGACTTAAGAAGCACAATGAAACATTGTAAGAAACACATGGAAAATGTTCATAAAATTTTGCTACAACCATCTAGCAAAATGCATTAAAAGGTGGTGTGTTGGAAGTTGGAACTGAGAGCAGGAAACATCTATAACAACCACCACCAAAGCCTTTTTCCCAACTATTTGGGGTCAGCTACATGAATCTAATTTTTCCATTCCACTTTATCTTAAGCTATTACCTCAGTCAAACCACATGTTATCATATCCTTAATAACTCTATCCACGGTAACTTCGGCCTTCCTCTTCCCAGCATTACCCTTTAATATGGGCTATGTCACTTTTCCCAACTGGCGCATTTAAAGGCCTTTTGTGCACATTTCCAAATCATCTCAAGTCTGAACTGATTTTTTCTCATTTTATCTCCAATTGGAACTACTTCAACCGTCTACGAATGTGATCTAGGATGACATGATAGTAAGGAATGGCACTTTAAATATACAATCATTATTTTGATGGAGTATTAGTTCAGTGATCATTGAGTCTGTGCTATTTGTACTGATAGGCTGTTGGTATCGTGTGATATTCGATATATGATTATTTATATGAATTAAAAATTACAGGTCGGAGACTACAATATTCGATATTGATTATTTGATATGTTCTAATGAGTGGTGGTACTTAACAGCCCCTTTTTAATCTCTAATCAGTATAAGTGAAGAGGGTAGCTTGTGGTTTCTAACAGCTATATCATTAGGATTGCAGGTGTGTTATAATTAATGCAATATCATTACATCAAATTTAAACACAATGCGACAAGTTATGAGTTGGACTATCAATTGCAACATTAAATTACATTCACAGCAGGATTTGCAATTATTTAGAAGATGATAAAATTTAAAGATACAATAGATATTAGGTGGAATGTCAGTCTGTAATTGTGGCGTATAAGCTGTAATTTCGAAGCTTTTTTTTTTTTTTTTTAAAAAGGATTATGTACACACTATAAGTCTATAACAAACTACAAGAAATTGATATATCACTTGATTCACTTTCATATGAATTATTCAATGAAACTGAGAGAAGGGGGAACAATGGAAATCATTGTCTTTGTTGAAGCTAAATGAAGTTTATAGGAAGGCATAGGAACAATAAAAGAAGAGAAACATTTACCGGAAAAAAGTAAAAGAAAAGAAACACTTTCCAGTGTTAAATTTTGGGCGATACAGAGGTTTGAAAGGGCTTTCATCTTCCTTTTCCTTCAGAATCCTAACAATTGGGACTTGATAGTAGTAGAGACCATCAAGAGAGGCTTCTTGATCTTCTTTTTGGTTTGTTTGTGTTTTCTAATTGAGAGGAACAACTAACATGAATGTTGACTTGGGTATTTTAAGTTATATTTGATATATTTAGGCTTTGTTTGGATCTTGAATAGGAATAATGTCTTTTTGACCATGATTAGAGGCATAAACCAATTTTATGTTGTATTGAGTATCATGATTTTTGTTCTGCTTTGCACTTTGCCGCTTCCCATTCAGAATCAGGATTGTCTCTTCACTGACTACTATGTTTCCAATAGCTATGCTAAAGAGTTACGGTTAGTCTAAAAAAATACAAGTTTGCCTCTCAACAAAGAAATAACATCTTTCCGGAAGTTCTGAAATAATGTAAATAATCAGAGGAAGCATGAACTAGGTTATTGGTAATTGGGTATCATGTTTTTTTTTCTGATGCACTTTGTTGCATCCATAATTGTAGCAATTCTAACCAGTAGAACATCTCTTAGCAGAGCTGAGTTATTTGTTGCTACTGTGGAGAGTACTGATACAATCAGAAACTATCTTTACCAGCAGCTTTAAATTGTGGTAGTGTCTAATACGAGGTGTAGGGTTTGCATTATTGTGGAAAGTGCAGCTTTGGAATAAATTTATTATTTATTATCTGATCTCTAGGAATTGGACAATTCCCTGATGTCTTTGTCCCAAATCATGTGCCATATCTGATGTCTCATCCATCATTTTCTTTACCCTCATCCGACATCCTATATATGATATATATTAATATATAATGTAGGTGATGCCAACAGTATGTGTAGATCAATTATTTATAGAGGAGAAAAGAAAAGCATGATTATATTAGTTGGTGGTTGGATGGGTAATTGACAGTGGTCAACATACTTTGGACTTATGCTATATATGCAAAGACAAAGCAGAAGTTATCGATTAGCTTGGGGCTGTTGTAATTTTGGGTTTAATCACAGTGGTTATTTATTGGGATTTCATGCTCAAATTTTTATATCTTGTGGGGTTTACCTAATCTCTTTCTAGTGTGGCACATAGCTTTTCAGGATTTTCTTTGGGTACTTGCTACATTATCTCTTTGCACAAACTTTTTGGCTTCCTGATTAATGGCTTATTCGATACTTGAGTAAATGATCACAGATTGATGGGGCCATACAAGTGTTATCCTTGAGCAATTTATTAGGAACTGAAAGATATCCCTGTATATAATTTAATAACGTATTCAGTGGCGGTCCCATTTTCACTGGTCTACTTTCCAAATATAATAAACTACAGGCATTGCTTTCTTAATTTTCAAGCAGAAAACACAAATTTTTATTCAGTTATATAGTGTGAACCCAGTCTCTACTTTCTAGGGTAAACTTGAGTAAGGACTACTGCAATTCGAACAGTCATCATGAGTGGGTGGCCACACTTAACATATTTCTTAACTCCTTTAAGAAGGAACTTTTGTAGTTTCATCCTGAATTTTTATTTTGACTTTGAATTGAAATTGAACAGATGGTGACTGAAGCTTATTTTCCATATTTTTTCTTAAATGTCAACTTAGTCTATTGTGCTCTTTTGAAATTCTGGTTGCATTTATTTTCACTTCATTTACTCAGATTGTGAATCATTGATGCAGACATCATTTATTTATATTATTCTAGGTTGTGGTTTTCGGGTTGGCTGCATTTTAATTGTTGTCCTAAATTCTTCCCCCTTCACTCATCAACTGATTATATATTGTACTTGGCCAGCTCCGTGATCTGGAGAGAGGGGTTGATATACTTGTGGCAACACCTGGACGATTGGTGGATTTACTGGAGAGGGCTAGAGTTTCATTACAGATGATCAGATATTTAGCTCTAGATGAGGCAGATCGAATGCTGGATATGGGTTTTGAACCTCAAATAAGGAAAATTGTGCAGCAAATGGACATGCCTCATCCAGGTGCAAGACAGACAATGCTGTTTAGCGCCACTTTTCCAAAAGAGATACAGGTTCGTTTTATTTATCTATTTTATTTTACTTTATATCTTTATTTTTAGGCTTGTCTGGCTTCACAAAGAGTTCTATATAACCACACGCCACAAAAATATAATCCTTTTTTTTTTTTCCTTTCCATACCGGTGGCTTGATGCTGCATGGTGCTGCTATTTTAGTAATTTAACTTTTTGTTGGGGCTTCTGATTACCACCAGATATACACACTTGTTTGACGCTGTAAACTTGTTTCGTACTTGTACTGCATATTGATTGCATTTTTTGACCTGCATTGAGACAGTTGTTTCAAATGTTCTTCCCCTCCCCCCCCAGCACACACACACATCATGCAAAATAGGCAGCTTTGCTATAGTTATGTGCATGGAAGCCATGGTTACTTCATTTGCATCTTTGTGACACGTTTGGAACTTTTGATTGTCATGCAGAAATTGGCTTCTGATTTTCTTTCAAATTACATATTTCTGGCTGTTGGAAGAGTTGGTTCAAGTACTGATTTGATCGTCCAAAGAGTTGAATTTGTTCATGAGTCTGACAAGAGAAGCCACCTCATGGACCTTCTTCATGCACAGAGGGCAAATGGTGTTCATGGCAAGGTAATACTAGATATAAAAAAGGCCATTCTTTATTTGTAATGTGTGGTTTGGCTTGATCCTTTGTGGAGTAGAGCATATAACCCTGCCTATTATTAAATTACTGTATTGGAGTGTACTTGTGGAATCAATGGATTCTGTGTTTGATCCTCATTGGAGTTGCCAAAATTTGGGTACGAGGTTTGTACATGTTACAGCGGAAGGACCCGAAGAGAGTGGCTGGAGGAAGGGAAGGAGAGGACCTGTAGAGAGTGAGAGTCGCCTCCATGTCTATAGAGTGAGTGGATAGAGAATTCCTAGCTCATAAATGGAGGAGGGAATTGTCACTTTTACTCAGAAACGTATTGTCACTCTAGAAGAGTGACACTTCTACCATAATCTCTTTTTCACTCTCTTCTCAAGTATAGAATTTCTAGCTAGAGGTCAGCACCTACATGGTCAAAGGGAGACAGAACCACCCATGTAGTGCTGATGCACATGCTTTGGTGTGTTTGTAGTGGCGGGATCCCCATGGCATCACTCTCTAGCTAGCACTTCACTCTTGGGCCTCAAAATTACAACCTCCTTGAAGCCCTTTGGAATGACGTGTCAAATATGCTGTTGTGGATGATGGCTGCTGTTAGAGGTCTGTCCCACATCGGATCCGGATGGGAAATGTAATGGGTATTAATGGGTTGGGTGTTAGCCCTAACTGAGAACTTAAGTTTTTGGGTCGGATTGCGAAGGACCTGACCTATTACAGTTGATATAAGAGTTAGACCGAATCCTTGATCCAATGTCACGCTAAGCGCCTGGCCAGAAGGTGTCCGGGCCCTCACCCGGGTAGGCAGGGTGGCCCGAGCCGTAATGAGGGTGTTGCAAGGTCGGGTGGGGGAGAATATTAGAGCTTTGTCCCACATCGGATCTGGTTGGGAAATGTAATGGGTATAAATGGATTGGGTGTTAGCCCCGCCTAACATCTTAAGCTTTTGGGTCGGATCGCAAAGCACCCGACCCGTTACAACCGCCCATGTGGTGCCTTTGTATAAAGGGGTGGGACTTCAGGCCTGCAACTTCATAATAGGTTCTCTTAGATTTTATTATATGGACATTTTTTTTTTCTTTTTATAATCAATATTGGCAAGTGAATTTCAGAAAGTCACTCTCACAACATTTTCTATAAATATCTATAAACCATTATGGATTAAGTTATTCTATTGTTGATCACAACAAAAAGTGCGAAAAATGATTCAAAAATTACTTCTGAAGTGAAAGTTATCCTCAAATAAAAATGACATTGGAATGATGAAAATGGGGTTCAAAGAGTAAAGAAGGGTGATATTGAATTCTTACTAGAAAAGAAAGACAGAGAAAGGTACAATTTGGTAATGGAAGTCAGTTTTCTTAATGCTTGATCATTTTGGAAACCTACCCTTCTTTATTTTTAGCCTTGTTTGTTTCCTCAGTTCGTAAGCTAACTAAAAAATCCTTGACCTTTTTCTGGGCTCTTAAATACAATATTCTTACTTCTTTATTCTTTTTGGTTAATGGGCGGGATTGTAGTTCTACTGATTGTCTTTTGGATTTTGTTGATAGCTTAAAGCTATAGGGCCATCCTGAACGACTTTTGTTTTCTTTGGGAGCGAGTGTCTTTTATGAAATCAATCTTGTCAAAAAAAAAAATTCCTTGAATTTTGCTTTTTACTCACATGATTATTGCTTTTTTGTTTGGTATTGCAGCAAGCTCTGACTCTGGTTTTTGTGGAGACAAAGAGGGGAGCCGATTCACTGGAACATTGGTTGTGTATGAATGGTTTTCCTGCTACTACTATTCATGGTGATAGATCACAGCAGGTACATTTGTTTTACACTTTTGACTCTAAGCATTCTCTTATGCTGGGTTTTGATACTGTGGTGTATGTCAATGATAGAAGTACTTTATTTATTACTTAACTTGTACAGTGTATGTTTGGAGTTGCTACATGTTTCCGAGTTTCCAAAAGAATGTTTTTGTTTTGTTCATGTCTTTCTCGAAACAGAAAGCATGCTTGGCAATATACAGATATTGCCTCCCCGTCCCTCCCCCCCCCCACCCCCCCACCCAAACCAAAAAAATTTGAAACAGATTAGGGAATAACGTGTTTGGTAGTGAGATGTGTTTCAGGCTGTACACTAACGAATAAGATTACTTTCTCCCCATTTTGCTATTTGAATGATCGTTTTCTACTAAATTGTGAAGTATGAGAGCTCTCTTTTTGGAGTGAACCTTAACCTAAGCATAACAATTTCTTACTCGGATTCTGAAAAACCAATGATTATTTCACATTTCATTTACTTCCATTGGTTTTGTAAGAGCATCAGAAAGTGTTTTTTTATTTTCTTTTCTTTCTTTCTTTTTGTGTGTGCGAGAATCTGAATTGCCAAATACGATTTTAGCTTTAGTTCAGCTGATTCATTATCAGCAGTCTGCCGTGAATTCGTTGGGTAAGTTCTGTTAGTTCAGTTGATTCATCATCAGCTATCTGCCTTGACTTTTTTGGGCACATTCTGCTAGTTCAGCTGATTCATTATCAGCTATCTGCCGTGACTTCTTTGGGCTTGTTCTTGGAGGGTGTCACGCCTATGGGCTTCCTGTGTTTATTTTGGAACATCCTTTACAATTAGAGTATTCTGTGCTGAGGTTCATGTTGGAAGGTCGTGGAAGAGTAGGATAGTGCCATGTTATCTTGTGAGGTATTATTCAGTTATCTGCTATGTAATGTTGTTCAGAAAGGACATGGTATGCTTCACTAAAAAATACTGCGATGCCAGAATGTATCACTATCACCTCATCAGCCAGTGAGAAGACTTTACCAACCAGACCATTTGAAAGTATCATTTTGATCATCATAATCATCATCATCGTCCTTGTCTTAATTCCATTTGGATGGATGGGATTGGCCAAGTTTCAGGACTTAGATCACACTCATATAAATAGAAAAGCTATATATCTCAAGTCATAATAACATATTCAACACAAGCAGTAGTTGTTAATTTTTGTACAACAATTATAAGAAACACATCACAATTATCAGAAGATAAAATGTTGCATCTTTGCTCTTCTAGTCCTCCTCCATAAAGTTCATGAAAATTTCTTCATTCTTCTCAATTCCATAGCTGTTTACAATTGGCTCCTAATACAATAATTTCATCGTCATCCTCTTTATCATGTTTGTTTTGTTGATACAGCTGATAAATAGTTGGATCTGTCTATCTATTCAGCTGATTAAGATTCTAAATTAAACACAGTTCAAACAATAAATTTGCATTTGCAGCAACTTTAAATACTTTCCACATCTATACCAAACATATCAACTGAAGTGGTCACACTTGTTCTGCACGAAGAATAATTTGGAAGTCAAGGATTAGCTGGAAACAAAATGAATGTGTCACTGAAATCAGTGATTACTAGAAGATTCAATCAATTAACATTGTAAATTGGATACAATTGTTGAATGATCTGAGAAATTACCAGTGTTTATTAAGTTAAATTTGTACTCCATTGATCCATAATAACTTCAATCATTGTACCACCAACACAATTTCCATATGCTTTTATTTCTTTCACGTCAATGGCCTTAGATATTTATCACCAAACAGATAAATAATCAGAAGATGGATTTCATCAAAATGAAGTGAATTGAAAAATTGAGAAAACATGACTCATTTGAACGTTCAGACATCTCACATAATATAAAAAAAAGGCTAATTGCAGCTGACTGCACAACATTGTGACTTGCCTTTCAGTAGTACGTATTTTTTATTTCAAATGTTTGTTTATATGGTTAAATTTGTAATTTAGTTATGTCTAGAATTAATTCACAGCTAGTTCCTATCTTGGAAAATTTTAATTACTGATGGAAGTTGGTTTATAATTATGATGCTTTGTGATTTGCAAGCATAAAATCCTGATGGGAGTTTCTATTATGATGCTTTCCAATTTGTAAGCCTAAAATCCTGTTGGAAGTTTACATTTATTTTTGAGTTTCTAAGTAGATTCACTATAATTTTGCCGAGGCCATTTGGATCTTTAGTCCAGGATTTATTTGTTGTTTATTTGAGTTGAAAGTGTTTTTTCTATATATTTTTTTCGCAAGAAACTTCTACGAGTTAGGAGCGTTTGGGCAGCTAGAGATGTATGTCTATATCTTTGTTTACTATACAAGCAAAGCTGTTTTGATTGAACTCCTCAAATGTTATTCCTCCAAGCCAAATGTGAATTTGGCATATGCATCATTGTTTGTAGGGTAAATACACTGACCTCCCTAAGATTTGGCCTAATTATACAGAGGTGTTAAGTTTGAAAAAGTTACTCCAAAATCCCCTCAACTTTGAAACTTGGTAACTAATACCTCCTCCTGTCCAAATTTTCATTAGATCTGTGAAAAAAATTGGGCGTACTGACAGAGATGCCCTTCAACTCGGTGAAATGACCTCAAATGGAATTGAAAGTACAAGATGTATCCTCCTCTCTCTCTCTCTCTCTCTCCACCCACCCACCACCGTTTACACCGACCTTCTCTCTCTAAAATGAATCGCAACTCATGAGGCCAGATCTGTGAGAAAACTAACTGCATACATGTACATCCATCTTTATACTATCGGGTAAGTGGCTCATATATCTCCACACAGACACACACACACACACACACACACATATGGGTCTATTCTAGTGCTTGTTCTGCATAACCATAATGAGTATATCCAGGTATCATAGCAGTCCAAGACATAATACAGTCTTCAGTAATATGAATAATTCCATCTTGCAATCAACACATTCCAATATGGAATATCTATAACGGGAATTTTATCAAACAGAGAACGAGTATCGTCGAATTCACCGCACTTCATATGCATATCAATCAAAGAAGTCCCCACAAACAAATCAAACTCCAACCTAGCTCTCAAACTTCACCCATTAACAAATATTCCAAAATTAACAGGCGGTATGTGAGAAAGTGTATACCCTCTTCCTACATTTCCCAATCGTAAATAATGAGAATTCAAATACAAAGTAATTCATAATGGGTCATTTTTGTGGAGATTATGGAAGTGCTTTTACAGAGGACGTGATTGAGTCTCTTCAGAAGGCCGAAATTGTTGGAAGCCAAATGAGGAATTGTGTAAGAAAAGGATGCGTAATTAGGTTTGTAAAATGAGGGAAGGGTCTTTTGGGGTCAACATTGGAAGGTTTTGCTATGGCTTTTAGAGCAGAAGAAGCAGACACTAATATTAGTCGTAGCAAACATAGTCATTTGTTCCTCCATGTAAATTTTTACACATATAGCACAATAAAACACCAGAGTTTTAGAGAGTGGTTTTGTGTTTAGCCAAATGAGGAATTGTGTAAGAAAAGGATGAGTAATTAGGTTTGTAAAATGAGGGAAGGGTCTTTTGGGGTCAACATTAGAAGGTTTTGCTATGGTTTTTAGAGCAGAAGAAGAAGAAACTAATATTAGTTGTAGCAAACATAGCTCCTCCATGTAAATTTATACATATATAGCACAATAAAAATCAGAGTTTTAGAGAGTGGTTTGGTGTTTTTGGAGAGAGGAAGAAGGAGATTACATCTGATGGCTTTGTTGGTGCCTTTGATAGTTTGAATCCAAGTCTTTTTTGCCAGGTTTGGTCATCACAATCAATGGTTGCGCTTCGATTAGATATGATTGTAGAGCAAAGAGAGAAATATATAAGACATGTCTACAAAGAATGGGGTTTGGAAGTAGATGGAGGAAGTGGATTGAGACATGTCTTTCGTCTGTCAAGTTTTCAATTCTTGTGAATGGTTCTTCCGTTGGTTTCTTTGGTTGCACTCGGGGCATAAGACAAGGTGATCCTTTGTCGTCTTTCCTTTTTCTTATTGTCATGGAGGGCTTAAGCAGACTTATGCTCAGGGCAGAGGATCTTGGTCTTATTAAGGGCTTCAGGGTGGGTAGAGATTTGGTCGATCAGGTCGAGATCTCTCATTTACTTTTGCAGACGATACCCTGGTTTTCTGTGTGCTGATGTGTCTCAACTCCGATATTTGAGGTGCATCCTGGCTTGCTTTCAGGTGGTTTCCGGGCTAAAGGTAAACGTGGCTAAGAGTGAGCTTGTCTTGGTAGGGAATGTTCAGGATATTTCTTCTTTAGCTGCAGTTCTTGGATGCAGGGTGAGTTCTTTTCATATTCCTTATTTGGGTTTGCCCCTAGGGGTCTCTTTAAGGATAATAGTGGGGAGTTGGGATTCAGTGATTGACAGGTATGCAAAGAGGTTGGCAGGATGGAAGAAGCAATATTTGTCTAAGGGGGGTAAAGTTACTCTTATTAAGAGTACATTATCGAGCCTCCCCACTTATTTTCTATCTATGTTCCAAATCCCTTGTTCCGTTGCGGATAGGATTGAAAAAATTCAAAGGGACTTCCTTTGGGGAGGAAGGGGTGACGAGTTAAAGTATCACCTTGTCAGATGGGAGCAAGTTTGCAAGCCTATGAAGATGGGTGGTCTTGGCATTAGACGTTTAGTTCCTTTTAATCAAGCTCTTTAGGCAAATGGTTATGGAGATACGGGGGGGAAAGACATCGCCCTTGCCCAGGTTAGTCTCTTGTCGGTTTGGGGAAGAGGTTGGCGGTTGGTCTACACATCCGGTTTCTCTTGTGGGTGGAGTTGGGATGTGGAAGTCCATTTGGAAGGGATGTGATGCCTTTTCTGCTCATATTAGATTCAAAGTTCGTGATGGAAGTCACATTCATTTTTGGGAAGATCTTTGGTGCGGTGATCAACCACTATCTCGTACATTTCCTAGATTATTCAGTATTACGCCTATGTAGCTGATTGTTATCGTCTTGATAGTAGTGGGATTACGTGGGACGTGCACTTTTGGCGTTCTTTTCAGGACTGGGAGTTGGACGAGGTATGTGTTTTTTTGGATCTTTTGTATCGACAGGAGGGAGTTGGTAGGGGTAATGATGAATTGACATGGGTTCCCTCTTCCCACGGTCGGTTCGAAGTAAGATCTTTGTTCTCGTATCTTTCTAATTTTGATAACTATGTTTTCCCGTGGAAGACCATATAGCGATCCATGGCTCCAACTAGGGTGGCTTTCTTTGTTTGGACTGCTGTTTGGGGTAAGATTCTGACGATTGATAACCTGAGGAAAAGCGGCAATAGTTTTGTTAATTGGTGTTTGCCTATGCAAGAAGGATGGGGAGTCAGTTGATCACCTCCTTATGCATTGTCTTGTGGCGACTGTTGGAATCTTATTCTTGGATTGTTCGGCATGCGTTGGGTAATGCCACGATCTACTAAGGATTTGATTCATGCTTGGAGAGGTTGTCGTGTTAGAAGGGATGTACGTGGTTTTTGGAGAATTGTCCCACATTGTATACGGTGGTGCATTTGGAAGGAGAGAAATAGTAGAATGTTCGAAAGGAAGGAGGCATCTATGGCAACGCTGAAACTTTACATTCTTCGTTCTTTTCAATTATGTGAAGAGTTCTTGCTCCTCTTTTGATGATTTAATTATTTTCTTGGATTCTTTGGGGCTTTAGGCCTGGTTCCACGCTTGTTTAAGGAATGCGTTCCCCTCTTGAACGCCTTTTTATTTTATTATTACTTGTCAAAAAAAAAAAGAAAAAAAAAAGAGAGAAATTTATGAATATGGAGATTTTTCCAGGACTTGACGGGGAGAAGGTGGCTGTACGGTTGGAGGAGGGAAAAAAAAAAAAGAGAGAGAGGAAAGAAGAGAGGTGGTGGAAGACGGTGGTAGAGAGGAGAAAGAGAATGGAGATAGGGAAGAAAGAGAGGAGAGGGAAATAATTATAATGGTGGACAACTCGTCATTGTAGCAGTGTATCGGAACAAAAGGACAAAAAAGAAAAGAAAAGAAAAGAAGAAAAAGAGAAGAGATGAACACCTCGGGCTTGACTCGACATGGGTTATGCTTGTGTTCATTTGTTTAGTAAATGAACTAAAGCTCAAACAAAATTTATAGGCTCGTTTATTAAACGAGACAAGCTAAAACACTTGGCCACTCGGCTTGTTTGTTTGTGAACAATCTTGGCTAATGGTTTGTTTTAGGCTCGTGAAAATGTTTTATATATATATTATGAAAATATATATTCATCCCAAATACAAAATCCCAAAACTTTTATTCTCTTACACATGTATGAGGCCCAACCCAACCCAAATAATTTGGTCCTTTTAAAAATCAAAACCCAATTAATTAAAGCCAATGATCCACCCAAGCCCATCCTCTATATATACATGTACCTAACCCCTTTCGAGTTTCCACTTCCATTCATGCCTTTACACGATCAAAATCATCAAACCTTAGCCGCCATAGACAACACTGGGTTCACGTTGCTGATGGTCACTATGATCCATTATTTTGTCCGTTCACTTCTGTCTTTATCTCTCTCTTTCTCAAAATAATCCCAAGGTAACTTGAGGTTACAATTTGTTTCTTTCACTGAATCATCTTTTATTCAATTTGATTATTATGGGGCTGCTTTTAAAATTTCATGGAGTTTAAACCAATTGTTTATCATTGTTCTTTGCATTTCTAAACGCTCAATGGCGTTGGCGTCTTCTATCGATTATCCTTTCTTTCTCCCTATTTCTCTCAGCTCTCTAAAAAAATTCTCCCTCTGCTCAAAAGGTGTCCACTACATGAGCTGTTAAGCCGAGCTCGAGCTTTGTGAAACATAGATGAGTCGAGTTTGGAAAATATTTTGAGGGCTTGATTCGAGGTCAAACATCCTTGTTGTTTAACTTAGTCTGGCTTGAACACACCACTACTTGGCTCGGCTCATTTACAGCCCTAGATGTGAGGAAACAACTAAATAGTTATTTTTGAAACACAATGTTTGTTTATTTGAATGAGACGGGTTTCTAGAACAAATAGAATGTATTTGCAAAATCTATAGACAACCTAATATATATGACCTTACCTAGATGTTGTGAAGTCATTGGAAACTTCCTTTTGCGGTGTTTGAGATGATATGCTTTGCAAGTAATGTTTCTTGAACATTTGCATTGGTGAGAAATTAGAAGCGCTACACTCTAAGGGTGCCATGACCGTGTCGAAATGGACACAGAAGCATGGGACATGGCCGGACATGTGTCCAGGAATTTGAATATATATTTTCAGGACGCGACTTGATAGGTTTTCAATTTTTGTTTTTTTGTTTTTTTGTTTTTTAAATGGTGTTCCAATGTAATTTTAAAACATAATACGAGTTAAGTAGAAAAATAATATTAAGTTTAGAAAAAAAAAAATCCAGCTAGCTCCAAGTTGTAAAATAGTGATTTTATTACATTGTATAAAATCAGCAAAAACAATTTTTTGTGTATATAATAATTATTTTGTATATATATTTTTTGATAAGTAAGAATATATTAGAAAGCGTTCACAAAAGGGGGAACGCATCCCGAATACTATACAAGGTCCAAAGCCAAAGAAAAGGTCCCAAGGAACCCAAAAATCAACAATTTTGTCTATAGATTTACAATTTCTCCCCATCACCCAACTAGCAAGAGAACTAAAATTTCAAAGCCCCAGTGGAAGATTCCTCCCCCCAAAAAATTATTATTATCGAGCCGTTCTTTCCTTTTTTTTAAAAAAAAAAAAAAAATAAAAAAAATTGTTAGATCATCGTGTCTTTATCGTGTCGTACTTCTGTTTTTATCTGTGCTAACATTTTTTCGGTGAATGGATCTCAAAACTTCATAAAAAAAATTTCTTTCAGTTTCAGAATCAGGTTGTTCTGCTCCTTGAATGCAGATACTAGGGAAAAAGGGAAAAAAGAAAAGAAAAGAATGCTCTTAGTTTATTGTGTGGCCTTCACTCTGTACCACAACACTCGGAGGAAATGTGTTCATTTTGTTGATCAAATTGGACATATGGCTGTGGAGCTTTGCATATTGAAATAAAATTAATTAGAACAATGTTTGGTGTTCAAATTTCATTGTCTGGTTGATTACTTGCCATAAAATTTTCCGGCTTTGAAAAATAGGTTGTATCCAAATTATATGGTTTCAAAGGTACCATGAATTGCCTTGTTTTGTATTTAGTAATGATCTATGGGTCCTCATATCGAGCAATAGGATTTGTAAGTTACTTTATGTTTTTATGCTTATGTGATTGCCATGCATAGTTTTTATTGGGTAATGTATGTCCTAATCATTGTTAATTTTATTAGTTAAGAATCACCTATGTTTTTGAATTCCAGCAAATTAGCTTTAAAACTCCTGATTTCTGTAGTTCTGTTGTATCTTCCTACATTTTAATTTGCCATCAGCTGATTATGTTACATGCACAAAATGCTCCGACCTTTTCATTGGACATGCACTTAAAATATATATTTAATAATTCAATTTTATTTAATTATTGCTTCAAAATGGGTGAAATGCCTATATTGAACACTATGTTAAATAAAAACATTATTTTACTTGAGGAAAAAAATAAAAATATTAAATAATATAAATATTTAGCCGTGCCCATGTGTCCTTCTGTATGAGCTTTTGACATGTCCGTTGCATGGATACATATCAATATCCAACACGCATACCCGAGTCCATGTAACATAGCCAGCAGATACTACTACTCTTTCTGTGTGCTTGCGCATGTGTGTGCGTGGTGTTGTGCTGTTTCAAGGCTGCTAGTATCATAGGTTAAAGTGCACTATTGAACATTTCTGTCTATTTTGACAATGTCTGCAGGAAAGAGAACAGGCACTGAGATCCTTTAAAAGTGGTAACACTCCAATTTTGGTTGCAACAGACGTGGCAGCACGTGGTCTTGATATCCCCCATGTTGGACACGTGGTCAACTTTGACCTTCCAAATGACATTGATGATTATGTTCACCGTATAGGACGGACAGGCCGAGCTGGGAAATCTGGGTTAGCTACTGCCTTCTTTAATGAGAACAATTCCTCAATGGCCAGGGCATTATCTGAGTTGATGCTAGAATCAAATCAAGAAGTACCTGCTTGGCTCTCCCGTTTTGCAGCTCGATCTTCGTTCAGTGGTGGGAAGAATCGTCGTGGGGGAGGTCGGTTTGGTGGTCGTGATTTTCGAAGGGACTCCTCTTTCAGTAGGGGTGGTGCAGATTACTACAGCGGGGGCAACAACAGCGGTGGGTATGGGGGAGGATATGGTGCCGGGGTTACAAGTGCATGGGACTAGCGTATTTACATCAATTTTTCTCTTTTAAAATAATGGTTCTTGGTTAATGATATTAAACTTCTCACTTATTTTATAGATCAACTTTTTGCCTTCTTTTTTCCCCATTGTTCTGGTAGAATTTGAAGTCTTATGTTCTGTACTCTTAATTTTAACTGTTACAGAGTGGGGGTTGTATGTTTGGCATTGGGACTGTGAAGATAGAGGTTCATAGTTTTGACAATATGGTAGTGAATAACTACTAGCAGAGTAGGGGTTGCTCATGTAATCTTTTACACTTCAATTTTTTATGGTGATGAGTTGTGGAACATGTAGTAGGATTCATTTATGTGTCATAGGCACGTTCTATTATCTTGGCGGTGGGATATTATTTATCGAGGCTCTGGTTCTTCCTTTGTCTGTAGGACCCACCTTGTTCTGGAAGGGAGTTCTAACTTTAAAGACTTTGTAATTTGGTGGTGACTGAGACAACTACTTTGCTCTCTCATGTGCATTTATTCTGTAGGTAAATTAATGTCATCATCCCCACACAAGAATTTTTTATCTTTTTCCTCTAGTATGTTCTTCCAAAATTTCGTACTAGGAAGATCAATGACTTGGCTTTCTTGGTGGTGCTTGTCCTTTTTCTCTTGCATGTTCTAAAATCTTATACTAGGAAGATCAAAGACTAGGTTTTGGTACTTGTCCTTTTTCTCTTGTATGTTCTAAATATCATACTAGGAAGATCAAACACCAGGTCTTATTGGTGTTACTTATCCTCTCTCTCTTGTATGTACTAAAATTTCATACTATGAAGATCAAACACCAAGTTTTATTGATGGTACTCCATTTTCGGTCCATGTTCGTTGTCTGACAACATTAAATCGTTATGGTCTCCAAAGCAAAACAAAAAGAGAGGCAATGATACTCAAAGTGAATAGTTAGGCCGAATAAATTAATTGTTGCCATTAGATATCTTGAAGTGTGTATTGCTAGAGACTTGCTTAAAGTGCACCAGAAGACTCATTTTGATGCATCTAAAAGTTACAAGTGGTTCATGCTATTGGTTTATGTCAGGCCTTAACATAATCTTTCATATCTTTCATTTAAGGAGTTATTGTGGTGGGACTCTGACAACTACTAGTGCATGATGGGCGTTCAATGAGTGGTGCTATTCAAATTTAATATTTCTGTGGCTTAATGAGCTGTGCCATTCAATCTTAACTCTCTCATTTCAGCGTCTGATTTCAAATGAATGGTCAAAATGATCACAAGTGGGATAGCCTCTAGTAAGGTGGTTTTCTCGCTTGTGTACTGTGTGTGGGAGTGGAAATCATTAAGTAGTTTGAAACATGTTTGATGATTCAAATAATAACAACGAAAACTGAAAAATGAAAAATGAAAAATGAAAAATGATCTTGTGCCTCGCTGTCGAGATGGATTTAGTAAGTTGTTAACATCAGTAAAAAGTTGACCCGTCAGTTGACACTATTCCACTTCAACGTTCGAGGGGTTCAAACCTCATTATTGCCTAACTAACGAGAGAAGAATAAAAATAGAATAAGATGCCATAGAACATCAAGTATAAGAAATTCAGTTCGCATATCATATAAAAGATCAAAAAAAGGTTAGATTACATAGGTAAGCGGAACAAAATTAGAAAAGGGGAAAAAAATGGTTAAAGGGTATTCGTTTTACTCTCTCCCTTTCTCTCTCTCACTCTGTTTAGAAGCTAATCTCTCTCATGTTTCATATTGTCTTGCTTGGCAGAGAAGTTGTTGACACTCATATGTATGAATGTCTCTTAACTATATATGTGTGTTATGAAAATCGTAATTAGGAGCATAGTGAATCTGCAGAGTAGATAATATCTAGACAAGGCGGGTGGATCGTGACATACACTCCCTCTCTTACACACCCACTTCGTGTCTATGAGACTTGTAGGTGAAGATATACTACAATTCCTAGAATTCAAAACCTTGCCATAATTCTTGTAAGAAATATTAACTCCCTTCAACTCACTCCATGGCTAGTTGTTAAAAAATTAAATTCTTTTTTCATAATACATAGCGGAAGCATCATTTTCACATCATCACTCAAGCATGTATGGAGATAACAATTATACCCATCCACACATAACACAATATTTTCATGGCTCACCCAATTGTAGAGCTATGTCCATGAAGAGAGAGATTTCGTTATTACGTATCAAATAAGAGAATATAAAACTATTACCCTACCTCACTCACTTACTCTCATACTCTGAGGTTACATCACACGTGAAATACATATTCTCTTCACCAAGAGAGGGAAGGGGTGAATTGGTTCAACCACTTTCTTTCAAGGATATAAACATTTTTCTTTCACATATAAACCACCACAGCTTGTTAGGATAACTCACATATATCACTAGAGTTTTGAAACTCTAATCCGTCACAAGTTTTTAATATAGAACCAGAGTCACAAGAACACCAAGATATTCAAGGAAAACATCTCTTAATAGGGATAATAAACTTGGTTCTTGGGTACACACCAAATACAAAATTCACTAATTGTGAAGCAAGTCGATGCACACTCGGCTGTCTCTCACTCGGTACACACTCTAGCTCACCTTTGTGCACACAACACTCCCCATGTCCGGAGCACCCCTGCTTGGACCTTCAAAGCTCTGAATAGCTTCTACAACACAATATAAAAGATGTATAAACATCATACGATGGTTGTTACAAAAGATAAGAATCAAGTTACAACTCAAAGATGAAACCAGTGTTCAAACCCTAATTTGTTTTTGCAAAAAATTAGGTTTGAGATGTCAAGATACAATGCAGTCCTAAGCTTGATGTCATACAGTCCTAAGCTTGATGTCCCGAGTCTTCAATCAACAAGATACACTTACTCAAATGCAAGGTATAACCAATTTAGTGCACAACAATACTGGTTTTTGCAGAAAACTAATTCTGGCTAGGTCTCAAGAGTGAAATTTAGAATTGGCACCAATGGCATACACATCTCCCTAATAACAATATATACTTGCTCAGAAGATAAACAAGATGAATACAACAAGATATCAACTTATGAACCTCAAATTAGAAGTGTATGCACCAAAAAACTATAACTGTCAAGGTGTCAAAATTCATTTTAAAAAATGACCATTTTCCTTTTGAAAACTCAACTTCAATAGCCTCAAATCATAAATAAAAAAAAAACTTGCTCAGACGTAGTTCATGAAGTTCACAACATATGCTACTTAGATCAGAAGCTTAAACTAGAAAACTTGAACATACATAAGGTCTGAGATACAAAAATCTACTGTAGTGAGAATATTGGAGAAAACTTGATTTCTGTAGCTGTATATAGTCAATCCAAACTTGTCTCAATCCCTTAGAACTTCTGTGGATGCCTCACACCAAAAACAAGCCTCTGCACCATCTCAATGCACCGGAAAACAATATAACAGGTCATATTCTTCAACTTTAATTGTATACACTCACAATACATATGTTTGGGAAGAATTTCAGCTCACTCAATGGATCAAAACTCAGAAAATTTTCATGTTATTTTGGACTCTCAAGTGTCACACAATGTAGCTCACAAAGTGGGCTCTCGCAGCTCACACAAAAGGCACATACAACAAAGTGCTATAACAACATATATATACTCCGGACAATGCAGCCCTAAAATGGATAGGAATATATTACCTTCTACCAATCATTGTTGAGGGAATTTTTTGATATTACTTTGAGTGAATGGACCACACAACGCTTGCCAACTCACCTGTTTTGTCCACTAGTGCACACAGCCCTTTAGCCTTACACATACACACACATACCAGCTGTAAAGAGAAGCAATTGTAAACATTGTGCCTAAGCAATGAAATGTGGATCATCATCACTCTCTCTAGGACCACAGTGCACGTGTCTGTCATGTGCATCATCTACATTGAAAAGACCAATATGCCCCTGAAGGGGACACATGTCATATATACTAGTAATCTGGCGTAGCAGCCTATAAATCCAGTGTAAATGAAATTTTCTGTGCTTAGAATATCACTGTAGCATCCAACGGTAAATATGCAGTGTCCATACACATGCTTGAAAAGACTGAAATGCCCTTGTGAAAGATTTCTCATTTACATACAATGCACCAGAAAATTGATATGTTGTCCTGTGAACAATGATCTATGATAAAATGTACCTTTCCCAGAGGATTTCAAATAATCTTAGCATACTTTAGTGACCTAAATACCCCTGTGAACTTCATACAGAATTACATAAATTCCCCTTGAGAGGACAGATGTCATGAAATGCAGAATTCTGCAACTGTAGGCAGAATACGTTTTGGAAATGTGATTCTCTGAGCTCAATGGCATAATGTAACATCAAGGGCAAATGTAAAATGACAATTCAGATACCGGTAATTACAAATATATCCCTGTACTCGACAAATTTTAATTTTGATTACCAGAAACTATATGAATCAGAAATATGCTGAGGAAGAACATGTATAGAGGTGTGTGATGTAATGTACCATAACAAATGGATTTCAAATGACCTCTATTGAATGTGTTATTACTAAAATGCAAACCAAGCTTTAATTTAATCTGCAGGATTAGACCATGAGCTCACCTTTTGACATTGAAACACTTAAGTCATCCTTATGACATTATAAAGGCAAACAATCATTGGAATCAATAATCTCCTCCTTTTGCCTTTTAATGTTAAAACCTCAAATCCCACAAATGTAATCAACCAAGATACACATATACTGAACAAAGGATATAATAATCCTTGTTCTAGGTCCATTTTTTCCCCCTTTTGACATTGAAAGTCAAAAGGTGAGCGGGACCAACAATGAAGTAGATTAGAGAGGGTGAGAGATAACTCTTAGAGAATTTCTGACGGCTGAAAGTCTATATAAAATTAGTGGTTTGATTGTGATACCTGCTTGATGAGCCTTGTCTCCAAGAAATAGTGGTTTTGATGAATCAAATGATGAACTTGATAAACTTTGAAGTTGATAATCAATGTCTGAATTTGTTTTCTTCATCCACACATGTTGAGAATTAGCCTGAGAGAGAGCTGAATACTTGGATTCTGAAGTGAATGATGAGTAATTAGCTTTATTTCATCATTGGCTTCATATTGAATTTTTGATCCACCGAAAGATAGCATTGCAAAATGACTATACTGTCCATTATTTTTTGTCATAGAAGACCTTAGCTTCTTCTTGTCTCTAATCGTCAAATTTGGAAGCCTATTACAGGTTTGAGCTTTTGTGTTTTGAAGAATCACTGAACTTCACTTGATCTGGTTTTCTGTACCCCTCATCACCTTCGTTCTTGAATGGATTTTTGATTGAAGCTATTGTGCCTTGTTCAGTAACAATGTACATATTCCCTGAAGATTTTGTGGCTGTGAAGGCTGTCTTTCCTGAAGCTTGATTAATGACATTACACCGAGTCTTGTCAAAGCACACCTTATTACCTATTTTACAGAGTTGACTCACATTTAAGAAGTTGTGTTTGAGTCCTTCAACAAATAGAACATTAGGTATCTCTGGAAGTTCAGAAGTCTTGGATATAGTCCCAATTACAACTATCTTGGCTCTCTAATTGTCCCCCAAAATTACACCTCTATCAAAGTCATGAAGAAAGACAAACCTAGACTTATCACTTGTCACGTGCCTTGAACAACCATTGTCAACACACCATTTCTCACTTGAGTTGTAGGCCTTAAGGGTTGTATATACAAATTCACTCATAGAGTTCCGATTGTTAGAGATGTTCATCATTTTGCCCTTGAGGAAGGATCCCTTGTCTTTACACTAGTGATACTAGTACACAACATATTTCTTATTTTTCATAAAGGCTGGTATAGTTCTTGAGTTTTTCAAAGTGGAATTAGTGAATTCATGTCTATTAAGCCTCAAGGGTGAGTAGAGATTGTTTGACTTAACAAGAATTAAGTGAGTTTATTTCATCTTTTTGGTATACTCACACTTGTAACTTGTTCTCCCCACAACATTCTTTCTCTTAAACTTCAAAATGCAGTAGACAGTTAGAGAGATTGAACACATGGTTGAGGGTATAACCTTTGCATGATTGATGTGCAGATTCCTGAACACTTGAGGTGCTGAACTAAGCTTCCTTATCTGAGTACTTTGCAGATTATACTTCATAGTAAGCCTTTCATCTTGGACTTTAAATGTTTCTTTTAAGTCCATGAACAAACATTTATCAACAGGAGCTTATTCTTCAATAATCTTTTCAGGTATTGAATCCCAATCTGACACCAAAGCTTTTTCCCAAACTTGTTCTTGTTGTTAAAGACCTCTAGTTTCATTTGATTTTGACCTTTGTTAGAATGACGGTTTGCAAGGAAGTGTCTAGTTTTTCCACAGCCATAACATGTTTAATTATTAGATTGTCCTCTCTTCTTAAACCTGAATAACCTCATCATCTTCTAATCCTTTATTATTAGTCTTCTGTTCAGTTTCTTAAGTGATTTCTTTGGCTTACAAAGCTGCTTCTCTTATGTGTTGAGTAAGAGGACTAATTCTCATTTCATAAGTAGTGAGTGAGACTTGTAAGTCATCAATCTTCATTATGGACATGTCCTTTTCTTCAGGAATCGTGACTTTGGCATTAAACCATGAAGTTAAAGACATGAGAATCTTCTTACAGACTTTTGAGTCCTTCACATCTTCACCAAAAGCTTTGATGTTGTTCTCTATCTCATTGATCTTGAACAAATACTCTGAGACTTTCTCTCTCTCCTCCATTTTGCAACCTTCATATTGTAATTTGAGAAGCTGGATTTTGTTCTCCTTGATCACATTGTTTCCCTCATGAGCAGCTTTGAGAGAGTTCCACATTTTCTTTACAGTCTTGTAATTTTTGATCCTTGTGAACTCTTGTTGCTTGAGTGCATATAATAAAGCATGTTTGTCCATTCCATCATTTGACAAGGCTGCCATATCACTTGCAGAAGGATTTTCAGGACTGAGAACCACCACACCAGATATTGTAGCACACCATACATCATAAGATTGAGGCATTAGAAATGCCTCCATTCCGGTCTTCCATGAATCATAGTTTGAACCATTAAACCTTGGAGCTTTGTTGGTGACTTGACTTTTTCGATGATTTAGGATCTTTTTTGCAAGACCTTAAGCTCTGATACCAATTGATGAACCAAAAGGGGGAGGGGGTGAATTGGTTCAACCACATTCTTTCAAGGATAAAAACACTTTTCTTTCATAGGTAAACCACCACAGCTTGTTAGTATAGCTCACAGATATCACTAGGGTTTTGAAGCCCTAATATGTCACAAGTGTTTAATATAAAACCACAATCACAAGAACACCAAGATATTACAAGGAAAACCCCTCTCAATATGGATAAAAAAAACCTTGGTTCTTGGGTACACACCCAATACAAAATCCACTAGTTGTGATGCAAATAGATACACACTCAGCTGTCTCTCACTCTGCACACACCTAGCTCACCTTTGTGCACACAACACTCCCCCTATCCTAAGCACTCCTGCTTGGACCCTCAAAGCTCTCAATAGCTTCTACAACATAATATAAAATATGTATAAACATCATACAATGGCTGTTATAAAATATAAGAATCAAGCTACAACTCAAAGATAAAAACAGTGTTCAAACCCTAATTTATTTATGCAAAAATTTAGGTATGATGTCTAAAATACAATGCAACTTCAATACAGACTCAAGCTTGATGTCCCCAGTCTTCAATCAACAAGATAAAATTGCTTAAATGATAAACTCAAAGTATATAGCAAGGTATAACCAATTTAGTGCATGATAATATTGGTTTCTACAGAAAACCAATTCTGGCTAGGCCTCAATAGTGAAATCCAGAAATGGCCCCAGCTCAGCCCAACCAATGGCATACAAAGCTCCTAAATAACAATATATACTTGCTCAGAAGATAAACAAGATGAATACAACGATATAACAACTTATGAACCTTAAATCAAAAGAGTATGTGATGCGGGTATTCGTGCCACCCAACCACATCAAGCTTGATGAGTGTGTATTAAGGCGAATGCCAAGAGTTTTACATTTATAGAAGCCACTACTACCTTTCACTAAAAATATAGCTAGGGCAAGTAGGGATCGCCCCAAGGGATTGTGAGGATCGAGCAATGTCGTGGAATCGTTATTAGGGCTAGTAAGTCGAGTAATCAAACAATTGGTTGGTTGGTTGATTGATTAAAGAACAACTAAATTAAACTAAGTAATAGCAAAGAAAATGCAATTAAGAGTAAGTAAGAGAGAGAGATCTTGGGGTTTAGAGGTCACCACCAAGCAATACATTTCTATACCAGTGATAAGTGATTAATGAGGGCAAATGATGTGTTGCAATATTGGTATATGTGTGTTTGGTTAATTCAACAAGCAAGGATGACTAGTTAAGCATGTATTGTCTAAACATCATGTGAAAGACACAATATATCTAAGCAATGAAGCATATATTGTCTAAACAACATGTGAAAGACACAATAAATCAAAACAAGTTATTAATCCTTTCATTAAGCTCACAATCCAAATTCAACACAAGGATAGAGATATATGCTACTTGCATTCAAAAGCTTTGATCATCAAACAACAAGCATAGATTGTCTTACCATTTAACACTACACTACAACTACACTACATCTACACAACTAGCATGAAAATAAATTAGGGGAGAGGCACAATCCATCAAGGAATAAGTATGAACCATCAAGAGAATCACAAGAGCATTCCTTCAAGCACTATGTTTTGATAATCTCTAAATCTATAGCATCAATACACATAGACATGCATCAATAACACAAAATCTAGAGACAAGCACATGAATATCTATTCTAGCATACATAGACATATGGATAGAATGAAATGATCAATTGGAAGCATTAAATCACATAAATCATTGAATAAATAAGATCTAAATCTCTCAAAGTGTCAAAACATTAATTACAACACTAATCCCTCAAGGGCTAACTCCATGGTTGAAATATGCTCCTTGGTGATGAAGAGTCTCCAATGGTGTCTCTAGCCTCCTCTTCCTCTAAGCTTCCTCTCCAAGAGATGATATGAAAACAATGTCTTTTTTTTTTTTTTTTTTTTTGTAAAAAACAATCCTTATCCTTATATAGGTAGGTCAAAATGACATCCAAAATAAGCTGGGGTCGTGCACACAATATTCCCTAATGATTGGATAAAGGACAACTTTCAATGAGATGGAAATTTAACTTTTTCGCACTGGAGGAAGTTCGATTAATCGAACCTTGGTCTTGGATCGATCGAACTGGCTGAGATCTATCGAACTTAGGATGGATCGACCCAACTGGTTGAACTTTTTGGAAAAAGACAAATTCGAGATATTTTGGGAGATATTTATGGGAAAAGAACAAAAGTGGTTAGTGGGTGGTACAGCTGTGGATAGGATCAATCATTTGAATAAGGACAAAAATGTTCGATCGATCGAAGGATGGTGTTGGATCGATCTAACTTTTGGACTTTATGCTTTTGGGCCAAGGCTTAGATCTATCTTGAAGTGCTGAGATCGATCATTGTTCGATCGATCGAACCTTGAACTTGGATCGATCGAACTTTGCTGCTTGTCACCTTTGGCTTCATTTGCTTCTTTCTTTCTCCACTTTGCTCTTTTCTTTGTTTAATCCTAGAATTTCTTCGATTAAGCTCTTATTTGGCTGAGTTACCTTATTTTCGGGATAAGTGCCTGAAAGTGAAAATAACACGAAATCAATCTAAAATGGTAAAGTAAGATAGATAAAGGTACTAGAATGCTTAAGCTTAAGGGGTTTAAATACGCACTTTTTAGCGCTCATCACACCCCCAAACTTAAATATTGTTAGTTCCTAACAATGAACTAGAAAGTAAAGGAATGAAATAAACAACTATATAAGTATGAATCTAGAAAATAATAAATGGATAACGCCACTTTCGTAGGGAACACGATTGCACTTAGCATATGAAACAAGCCTTTTAAACCCCTAGGTTACCCCTAGTGAACGAGTGAAGTCTCGTGAGGGTTTCCAAAAATGGTACCCACAAACATTAAGCTCATTCTTTCAAAAGAGGCA